TGGTTGTCTATAGGAGACTATGGGTCTGTCTCCCAGAGCTTCTTGGAGTTTAGTGTCCTGTTCCAGTATAGGCTGTAATCTATTGATAATGTGTTGGACAGGTATAAGTTGGGAGCTGTAGGTGATGACAAGTGGTGTTCTATTGTTGGTTTTCTTGGGTCTGTCTTGTAGTAGATGGTTTCTAGGTATTCGTTTGGCTCTTTCAATTTGCTTTTTTATTTCTCCAGGTGGGTAGTTGAGGTTTATAAATGCTTGGTAGAGATCCTGAAGTTTCTGGTCTCTGTCTGTGGGATTAGAGCAGATGCGGTTGTATCGAAGGGCTTGGCTATAGATGATGGATCGTATGGTGTGTGCTGGATGGGAGCTGGAAGCATGTAGGTAACTGTATGAGTCAGTGGGTTTTCTGTAGAGGGTGGTGTCTAATTTTCCATTGTTGATTTGTACTGTGGTGTCCAGGAAATGGATCTCTCGTGTGGAATGGTCCAGGCTGAGGTTAATGGTGGGGTGTAGGTTGTTGAAATCTCTGTGGAATGTCTCCAGTGTTTCTTGGCCATGCGTCCAGATCATAAAGATGTCATCGATGTAGCGTAAGTAGAGAAGGGGTAAAAGGGGACAGGAGTTGAGGAAACGTTGTTCTAGGTCAGCCATAAAGATATTAGCATACTGTGGGGCCATGCGTGTACCCATGGCTGTGCCGCTGATCTGGAGGTATAAGTTCTCAAACTGGAAATAATTGTGGGTGACAACGAAGTTACATAGGTCTACTACCACGTTGGCAGTGGTGTCCTCTGGGATAGTGTTTCTAATAGCTTGTAATCCGTCTTCTATGCTATCATGTGCCGAAAGTGTCCGTCTGCTATGTACATTGGACAAACGTCTCAGACACTTCGCCAAAGAATCAATGCCCACAAAACAGATATTAGACAGGATCACAAAGAAAAAACAGTTGCTTGTCATTTCAACCAGAAAGGACGCAGTCCCAATGACCTTCTAACCTGCATCCTACTTCAGAAGACATTCAAATCTGCACTTGAAAGGGAATCCTCTTAACTGGCATTCATGCTAAAATTCGACACTCTCCGCACCGGACGTAACAAAGACCCCGGCTATCTTACACATTACAAAGATAGCTTCCCCAATTATCACCTCTAATACTATTAACTCACAGACATTTCCCCTTCCCCACCTCTAATAGCATTAACTCACAGGCATTCACCTTCCTTCCCCCCCCCCCCAATCCCCCTTCTGTTCTGTAATGTGATTTGTCGTTTTCATGTGTGTTCATTTTTTTAAATTGTATCCTTTGGTATATATGGTTGTGACTATTTTCTTCCACTATTTGATCTGAGGAAGTGGGTCTGGCCCACGAAAGCTCATCATCTAATAAACCATCTTGTTAGTCTTTAAAGTGCTACATAGTCCTGTATTTTGTTTCAGCTACACCAGACTAACACGGCTACATCTCTATCACTATTCCACATCGTAGTGACTTAAGTATCCATTGTTTGGTTGGTTAAGAACAATTTGCACCTTCTCTCTCTAACTCCATTCATCTGAAGAATTGAGTTGTGCCCACGAAAGCTCATAATACCATCTACATGTTTTGTTAGTCTTTAAAGTGCTGCTAAACTAGTGGTCTCCAACATTTTTAAGCATGAGATCACTTCTTGAATTTAAGTGCAATCCAAGATCTACCTCAAACCCAAATCCTTTGTGCCCCATGCTCCGCCTCACCGAGGCCCTGTCCCTGCTCACTCCATCCTCCCTCCCTTCCCCATCCTCACTCTCTTACACTAGGCTGGGGCAGAGGGTTAGGGGTCAGGTTCCGGTCTTGGGTTAAGGGATTTAGAGTGGTGACGGGCTCTGAGTTGAGCTTGGGGCAGGCAGTTGGGTTGCAGGAGTTGGTTCTAGGTGCAAGCCCTGGGAGTTTGTTTGGATGCATGGGGACTCAGGGCTAGAGCAGGGGCTTGAGGTAAAGGAGGGGATTCATGATTGGGTTAGGGTTTCAAGATGTGGGATCCAGCTGGGCCCTGCTTACCTCAGGTGTCTCCTGGGTGGTGGTGCAGTGAGGCTAAGGCAGGTTCACTGCTGCCCTAGCCCTGCACCACTCCCAAAAGCAACCGCAGACTTGCTCTGTTCCTAGTCCTGTTGTGCCCCCTCTCTGCTCTGTGGAGATAGGATACAGGGTGGGAGAAGGGGACCTTGACATCAGCACCCTTCCTCTCCCTCCCCTGTCCTGCGTAGTAAGCAGGACGCTCCTGGGGGAACAGGTCTAAGGCAAAGGGCTGGAGACATGCTTCAGTGTGGGGAGGAGCAGCTGAAAATAGCCATGTGGCCAAACCCGTTATGATCACCTGTCAGAGGCTCCAACACCTACCAGTAGATTCTGAACTACTAGTTGGTGACCACTGTGCTAGACTATTAGTTGTTTAAGTTTTTCCAGTTACAAATTAACTCAGCTGCCCCCTGAAGCTTTTGAACGTGTTAAGCATGCACAAACAAACCTACAGACACACACACTTTTTTTTTTGTCAGTTAATAATAGTGACCACTGTTTGATATTTGGGCCATAATTAAAAACCATTATTTATTATCCATGGTTGAAATTCTTTTAAACAAATTAAATTGTTTTGCACTTTCTTGACTAATGTTATAGAACAAATAAAATGTTTTGAAAATTGAAAAATATAAGAACCTTTTCATGAGAATGTTTTTGATTTTTGAACCAACTCGGTTATCTCCTTAGTATAATGATAATGCCTGCATGTACTTTTTTCATTGTATTTTTTAAGTTCTCTTTATTTTCAGATAGGAAAAGGGTTTTAATTTGAAAATTTTGTTCACTCCAAAACACTTGGAGAAGGAAATGAGCTTTCTCTTGGTGTTTTTGCTTGGGAATGTGCTATTCTAGGCCTGCCACAAATTTCCACATGATCATAGGCAGGTCCCTAAATTGATGTGGTTTCATTTCTCTCACTTTAGAAAGAGGATAATAATATTTTCCTCCATAACAAGTATGTCTTGAGGGTAAATTAATTATTGATTTTTGTGTGTTGAGATAATACATCGGTGAATGTGGTAGTAAAGCCAATACATATATCTTATTCTAAAAATTAATTTAGGCTTAAGATTTTTCCCTCCTCTCTATTGAAATAGTTTAAGGGTAAGAGGGCCTCTACAGAAACCAAACACTAACCGAAATATTTCTGCTGAAATGTTTAAAAGTAATGTATTTTAAAACATTTTTGTTCATTATTGCCTGCATTGTTTGCAAATCACATGTTGCTTTGTGCTCATGCATCACAGAAGCAAATTAAACTGCTCAACCTGAATGAAATATAGAATGAACTAACTGAAAAGGTAAACTATGTAAATGGTTAAATGTGACTTGAGGTTTCTACTAACTGTCATCTTTGGTAATCTGTTACTTTTTATGTAGTCATCTAGGAAAGAGGACTTTTATGAAGAAATATTGTGGCTTTCTATATAAAATGCAGTATATCAAAACTAAGTCAAATAGTGTGCATGCTTATATACTAGCACACAAGGCACAGATCATCTCAATAAAAAAAATCACACTAGCTAGAAACTGTTCAGTGTACAGGCAGTCCCCGGGTTACGTACAAGATAGGGACTGTAGGTTTGTTCTTAAGTTGAATCTGTATGTAAGTCGGAACTGGCGTCCAGATTCAGACACTGCTGAAACTGACCGCCAGTTCTGACTTACATACAGAATCAACTTAAGAACCCCAGGCGTCCCCAAGTCAGCTGCTGCTGAAACTGATCAGCAGCTGATTCCAGGAAGCCCGGGGCAGAGCAACTCTGCTGGCACCGGAGCAGCGAGAAAGCCCCGTTCGTAAGTGCGGATCCGACGTAAGTCGGATCCGCGTAAGTCGGGGACTGCCTGTATATGCAATAACATGTCACTTACTTTTGAGATATTTTCTGCAATCTGGTAGCTAAATATTTATTTAGTTTTAATTTATTTATTCTTCTTTGAAAACCATGTTCTTTCGAAATCAGTTCACCTTATCGATAATTTTAAGTTCTGCTAGTGATTAAATTTGTATCTAGTTAAAGGGATGGGGACCTATGGCCCAGCATGCGGCATGTCTTGATCCGGCCCACGAGGCTTGGGCTCTCTCTTCCCACAACAGAGCAAGCCAGAGCTGGCTTGTCCTGCTATGGAGTCCGGAATCCCAAGCGTAACAGGCTGGATCAATGCAAGTTACAGGCTGCATCGGGCCCACGGGCTCTGCCTAGCAGGGGAGAGGAAGTGGTTCTTCATTCTGATGTCATCCCCTACTCCCTCTGGCTGGGGAAATGGCAGCTCAGAGAAGCTCTGGTCATGTGCTCACATGCGGTTCTACCACAGGGGAATGGTCAGAGGCCATCTGGGGGACCACCAGCCATGCAACTCCTCCCCCAACACAGGGAAGGGTCAGGACCATTCCTCTTCACCTCTGCTCTACTCTTCCCTCTCTTGCGCTGTCCTCTCCCTGCCTCTCCTCTTCCCCCCAACCAAAGCAGCGCCGTGGACCAGCAGGGCTGGTGTCAGCAGTAAAGGTCCAGTCCCCCGCCCTCCTCTGCACGTGCCCCTGGTCTGCTGGAGACGGTCTCCAGCAGACCAGGGGCACCGGAGCAGCTTACGAACGGGGCTTTCTCGCCCCGACTTCCGGGGCGAGAAAGCTCCGTTCGTAAGTGTGGATCCGACATAAGTCGGATCCGCGTAAGTCGGGGACTGCCTGTAATTACATTGAGATTTTGGCTGTATGTCTGAGATTTTTACATTGAAAGAATTTCACCATGTCCTTAGTCTTTTTCCTGATTTACCTGATTTTAAGGGACCATGAGCGGGGAGGGGAAGGATTTAAGTAACATTTGTGAGGAATTAAGTAATATAATTAAGGAAATGTAGCACAAGAATGGACGTCAAGCTAATAGAATATTATTTGGTCTACAGTTAACACACAATTTTCTTTCTTCCTCTTTATTCATAGAGAGTAAATCAAAAGGCCTTCAGTGGGTGATAGATACAACCATTGCTTACCCTAATGCAGAACCTATAGACATTCAGACCTGGATTCTTGGCTACAGACGACCGACAGTCACACATGTGCATTACAGGTAGGAAAAACTTTTAGTACACAATTGAATTAAGGACTAAAAATCAGCGTGAGCACATTTCAGAGTATTGAGTTAAAATAAAATTTGTACTTAATCTTTATTTAGAAGTGGTTTGTGTGTGGATGTGTGAGGCAGTTGTATTGTGATTAGTCATCAACTTTCAACAACATATATTGTAGATAGTCTAATGATTCTTGGGATTCTCTCATCCAGCCAGTGGGTCAAATTATGCTTGCACTTTACTGTGCTGCAGCATGCGATGTGAAAAATGGAAATTACAGAGCAGAGATACTAAGGACTAGTCTAGTCAATTCTCCCTCCTTGCTGCCTCTATCAGTACTTGACCTTACCCCGTTCTTTCAATTAGTGGTCAAAATGAGCGGTCACTCGTGATGTAGTTAGCGCTTACTCCAGCCTGGATGCAAAGGTCTGACTTAGCACCCAGCACCACAGCGTAAGTGTGTAGTGTTGAGCTGGCCCTGACTCCCCCTATGCAGTCATGGCCAGAAAACTGAAGAAGGCTGATAGGGGTTGATCTCCTACTGCCCACAAGGAGAAGGACAAGGCTAGGGGAGAGCCAAGACCTGTGCTGTGCAGTTCAGCTCCACATTCTGGAAGTTTCAGAGGGGTAGCCATGTTAGTCTGGATCTGCAAAAGCGGCAAGGAGTCCTGTGGCACCTAATAGACCAACAGATGTATTGGAGCATAAGCTTTCGTGGGCAAAGACCCACTTTGTCAGATGCATGTAGTGGAAATTACCTGCCTCTGGAAATTTCCACTACATGCATCTGACAAAGTGGGTCTTTGCCCACGAAAGCTTATGCTCCAATACATCTGTTGGTCTATTAGGTGCCACAGGACTCCTTGCCGCTTTTGCAGATCCAGACTAACATGGCTTGGAAGTTGAGCTTCAGCTCATGTTCAGCGTAACAGTGCAGCCCATCCTGTCCCTTGCTTATAAGCTCCAACACAGGGGAGCTATTAATGCCCAAAGCTTTCCAGGCTGTGCAGGAAATCTTGATGATTCCCGTGCTGCCCACGCTGGCCAGACCTTAGGATAAGCCCACCTTGATGCCCTTTCATGCACCTGAATAACACCACGTCCCATCACGGGACACTCCCCAGCACTGGTCATTCACTAGGAGCCAACATGTCTCAGATCTGGGGAGGCAGTCACAACAAAGCCCTATCTGGTGTCCAGACTCTGGGCACTGACAATAGGAGTTAAGAGGACCTTGCCGGCTACCTCGAACAGACCCTTAGAGGCACATGCCTCCCAGCAAGCGAGGTTCTAGGCTGTCCCATCAAACAGAGTCATTATGGATCCTGAGAACATTCGGCCAACAGGAGCCAAGACTTTGCCATTGATCCCCAAGAAGGGTGTTGCTGTGTCTGGGGAGTTTCCCAGAACGACCAGCCTGCAATACGATGAAGTACAAGTCATGAAGTATTAAATGTGGCTCTCCGGTCTTCTGTTGTGGCTCCACTGAGCCCTACCATTCACTAAGGTCCCCACGGAGACGTATGTTCCATCTGGACTGTTCCACCTCTAGATGTGACTGTGATCACCGTCAGTTGCGAAGTCGCTGCTCCAGTAGATCCTGGTCACTGGGTACCTACCGTTACATATCCAGTTCTGTGCGGAGCAGGGCTTCATATCAGTGGTGCCGACGCCCAGGCCCTTGCTGCAGTCTACATTGCAAGCACCATTGCTGTTGGTGCAGACCTCTGCTAGTCCCTCAGGAAGAGCAGAGCTGGGGTGTTCTGGCCCTTCCCAGGGTTATTGGTGTACAAGGAAAAGTTATATGGGAGGTGGTCATGTGGCCAGTATTTCTCCTCCCCTCCCACTCCCGTTCCATCTTGGTAGTTGCCCGTACGGGCAACCCTGGCTGCTCTTCTCTGGGTTATCTACTGAGGCTCAGGCCCTCCTTTTTAATGGCTATGCTCTATTTACAGAGCAGACAGATAACAAATTATATGGGCTGAGAATTCTGCTACACACTGAAAACCTTCTCAAACAGTTCAAACCACAACCACATCAGAGGCAAGGAAGCCAACCTTGGCAGGACCCATCACACAAAATACCCAAAGGGTCTAGATGGCATGAGCCATCAGCCCCCACCTTCTACCTAGTCGGACTCAACTTGCTCTAAATAGTGAGCTAAGAAGCTGTTTTGAATTATGTCTAAGGTTTGGATACCCTCTTCTTTTTCCTCAGAGTATATGTAGTCCCGGATGTTTTTTCGCCATGACAATTAACGCTCAAGGTAGTAAAACATAGAAAGATTCTTAAATGTTAATGTTTAATTTGAAACTATCATATGACTATTTTATGGTGGACTTTAAATTAGAACTAAATGATAGAGGTATGATTAATGACTTGCTCATTCAAATTACAACTGGGCTTACCTCAAAAATAAACTCTGCCATTGTGGTAGAAAGTACTGTCTTTCGCTTTACATAGCTGATATTGGTGAACAAATAACATTCAAGCTGTCATATTTCATAACCTTTTCGTGTCAGCAAAGATACTGTGCAAGACAATGTCTACCAAAGTAGCTTGGGGAAATTCCCAGGAGCCTCTTAGCTAGTTACTTCTATATCCAAGAGAAGCCTTATGGAATTAAGTCATACCTTTTATTGAATTAAATGTAATACCACTGAACTCTATTCAATTACAATCTAATTGTTTGTTGTAGGATTCTATGTATATTTTCTAGGATACTAAGGGAAATCTTGGGGAAATGTTAGGAACTTCACCTGTATTGTCCCAAACAGTTCTTTGAAGTGGCTTTTCCAGGTGATTTTTGGGAGACCTTTTGAACCTTTGCTCTGGGGAGAAAAACCCTTGTCTACTGATTACCTCCTGCTGGAAATTCCAGATCAAAGATCCCTCAACTGTATGAAGGAAGGACTAAACTTTTCATGAATGAGCTCAGGCTGTTATCTTTTTGTGGCTATAGAAGGTGTTGTGATGTTGAAGGTGTTGATCACCTGTCAGAACCCATGTTGGAGTTGAGGAGATCTCTGGTAAACATATTAGCCTATAGGTTCCTGGATTGTTTTAAAGTTGTTTTCTCTGTAGCTAAGAATAAATAATCTAGCATAGAAAGAGCTGTGTGATAGTTTAACTGTGAACTGCCATGTCATACTGTTGCTATTCTCTGAAGAGAAGCAAGCAGGCTTGCTTAAGCAGTCTGTCTTTCATTGGTAGTAACACAGCGAAGGCAGGGAACTGTTCAGCCTGGAGGTGTATCTTCACCTAATCCTGAGAGTGGTTGTCTTTGCCGGGCCATAGAGGAGAGGAATACAGGTGCAGTTTCCCTGAACTGACACACAGCCATCTCAGTTGCTCTTCAGAGCTCAGTTGTCATTTAATAATAGTCTCTAGCTGTTGTGGTTAAAAATCCCTTTAAACTATGACCTATACATGGGTGTCTTCCTGAGCATCCAGAGAACCAGAAATAATATATCTGAAGTGAGAACCAGATTTGTCATTTCAGTGGATTATTATTTTAGCTAAACATTTTGGTCTAATAAAATACTTAAACTCGATGCACATCTGTGCACACTGTGTCAGTTTGTCAGTACATTTTCTTCTCTGAGTGATTGTCATATCAATTGCAGGTTAGGTGCACCCATATTCAAAGTTATTTTTTAGGCCAGGGTTAGTTAAGTTCTTTGGAATGAATAAGGTGAATATTTCTGATAATTGACTATATGAAGTAGAAAGGGTAATGGAATATTTAAATTCCCCTCAAGTTAGCTTTATGCTTCTTAAAACTTATTTTTAAGAATTGTGTAAGGCAGGGGTTCTCAAACTTGGTGATACCACGAACCCCCTCTAAATTGCTTGCTGACCCTCCTCTAAGTTGCTTGCAACCCCCCAGGGGGTCGGGACCCACAGTTTGAGAAACGCGGGTGTAAGGGTTATATTTAGCAACATTAGCAGTAAGCTATGAATGCTATTGATGAAATGACTTGAGTTATGCTATATTATGTGTCCCATTTCAGTAGCTAGTACTAAGCATGTACAGTAATACTTCTATTTGGACTTCATTCCAGGTTTTGTCTGTCACTTTGCCAACCCACCAGTTACCCTGATCAGTAAACTGATCATTTACTGGCTTTACTTTTTGAGAATTTTGTGGCCGGATGTTGCACAACTGCATTTCAATAACAGTCCTTCTCTTGACAGCTTAATCTTTTCAGGAACAGCAATTATGAGAACTAGTGAGAATCCGTGGAGACAGCAGGTGTGTGTATATGGAGAATAGATCATGGTTTAGAATGCTGTTGTCATTGAGATAGCTTTCAGTGTTAATGAAAATCCTTTAGTTCTATTGTCACAATACTGTAACTGATCCAGAAATGAGAATTCAGGTTAATTGAGGCCCAGTTTCTTTTTATTTTGTTTGTTTGAAATTGCTGCTGGCTGTGAAATGTTTGTGCCTGTATTATTCTGAGCAGCTTTGCTTGTCCAAAAAGCAGGTGTCTCATGTTCATGGTGTCAATTCTTAACCAGAAACTATTCTGAAACAGATTGAGAACCACATACCCAACTTCACTTTGCCCATTCCTGCCCACTTTTCAGCAGCCAGCCTGATCCCTGCCACATTTTCTCTCCTGGCCCAGACTTCCATCCCTGGTTGGAAGGAAAAAATAGTACCTTCTGTTGTGCTATATATATATATATATATATATATATATATAACATCTCTGTGCGCGCCACCA